GTTTGTGTGTGTGTGTGTTGTTTGGCTGTTTGCAAGCCGGGCGCTTATTTGTTTGATCCGCAGGGGATTGAATTCCCCGCGTAAGCGTTCGCTTAAATGTCAACAGCAGAACGTGGACTGTTCTCGCTGTGATCCTCACATTGTCTCTTTGACGAGTTACTGCTGAAGGCACGAGCCAACGAGATGATCGACAGGTCATTCGTGATTCTCAACTCAGAGGCGTTTTTCAATATTCCAATTGAAAAAAAAAAGATATTTCTGTAATGTATTGATAAGTATGTTTTCTTCACCAAATAATGAGCTGAATTTAAGAATTGGTTTATTATCGGTTGATCGGGATGAGCCGTTTACATCCACGCGTAGAGTCCGGTCCAGAGCAGCAGCGTTGTCATCTCCATTTCGATCCCATATCACAATCTTTACACGAGTGGCTTGTGACTGAGCACAATGTCACGTGAGTGTGTGCGACTGTGTGCGCGCCTTTGTGGCACATTCGCTCCGCCCGTGCTCATCTCAAGGGGTTGTTTCATTAGCGGGACTCTCTCACCCCCTTGTTACGCTCTTTATTTCTTTTAATCATTGTTGTCAAAAAAAAACAGAGAAGTTCAGCCCCCTCCATGTTGCGTGTTTGTCTCTGGCCAACAGTGTCACACTGACTCCTGTTCTCTTGTCTTGTATAATGAGTTCTGCTTGGGAAAGTACATTCAGCAATTTGGCCTTTACTCCGGGGGGCACGTGGGAGTGGGAGCGTGAATGAGAGGAGGGGGAGAAGGCGGCGTGGATAGATGGATCCAGTCGGTCACCATGGCACCGTGGAGTATTGAGTTATTATGGTGAGACTTTGAGCTCAGAGAGGTATCCCTTAATCACCGCCTCGCTAGGATCCGAAGCCTCCATCCTTCAAAAGAAGGTAGAAGTATTCCTTACCCCAGATAACTAGACGGAGATTAAATGGGTTATTGGTTTGGTGGATCTCTCTGGATTCATTCAGAGTTGATTGGAAGGTGTTATCAAGGTAAAAACTGGATTTTAGCCTTTTTTGTTTCCCTTCCTGCAGTAAAACACGGTCTCTGTCGTGAGATGATCCTGCGATTCCTTTCGTATGTGGAAGCCGTGAGTCGAGTTTGCGGTGTTGTGACGGCAGCAGAGCATCAGCTGCACGTCACCCTGTTGTCCACCAGGTGTCAGTAGCAACGCAGTGTTGATGCTGCTCGCATGTAAGCGTGTGTGTGCAGGGAGGTTGTTGGCAAACCGCTTGACCGTTTCTCATGGTGATTTTCTTTGTCGTATTTGATATTAAATATTATGGACTTCTATGACATTCACCTGGACCGTAAGGAACTGTGATGGTCAGAATTATTTTCCACACATTTATATATAAAGAATTATCCTGCAAATGATCTGCTGTCCTGTAGCAGTCCTGCAGTGATTCCTGCCTCTGTGAAGGTTGTAATGTTCAGTTTTCCCTGGTTTCACAGAGCTGTGTGGATATTGAATTGCATCATGAGATACTGACTGGTGTTTGTATTATTTGGTAGATTTGCGTTTAGAGAGAGAGAGAGAACTTTTACGCCAATGCAGCGGTGACTTTATTTCGGGTAATAAAGTCAAGCTGTCTTTTAGAGGGTAAAATATGGTCTGCCCAAGGAGATTCAAGCAGCAGCAGCTCTCACTTTCATCTCACCCGCTGCTTGAAATCCATACAAATACACGCGTTGTCATCTGGAGGACGACGAGGTCGGCCCGGGCTCTCACACCGCGGGTCTTTATGGTTTCTTACCTCCTGCTGGTCTGCTGCGTGACTCATTCCGAGGTGTTTTGTTCTAATGGCTGGCGGTATTTTAGGTGTAATAGCCGCTCTCTGTGTGAGACCATCCATTCCGAGACAATGGAGAGAGCTGCGCTCCGAATCGATACGTGTCTCTTTTTCTCGCCCTGAAAGTGGAAATTAGTTCCATTTTCTCCTCGACAGGATGAATCACCACAACTCAAAGTATTGTTTAAGTGCTTAAAAAGTTCAGTGTCGCTCTCGGTCTTGGGACATTTCACCTGACATCAATATATTTTAGACCCCAGTGTTCACTGGATGTGTAATGGATGTTGAGGTCAGGGGTCGTGGCTGAAACCAGAGAGAAGCTGAAGGAGATAAAACTGCAGATTGCTCCTTGCAGATTCCCGCATGTCGTAGTTCTTAAACATCTGAATAGTGTTGCTTCGGTTTCATTGCTGGACATAGACATGAATGAATCTGGAAAACAAACACAACCTGAACCCTCCTCCGGTGTTTTCCTCAGGTAATACGTGTTCTCTCTGCCCTGTTACTCCTCATCTAATGGCTTTCTCTCTGGTCCGGTGGGCGCCGACAGCCGACATTTTCTTCCATCCAATTTCTAAAGAATTGCGTTTGGGTGAATCGTTTAGCCACATACGCACCTTTGTCACGCAGTCCTGTCTCGGTCATGTGGAAGAACAAACCGGTGACATTATCCCGCGGGCCGCACATCAGTTCTCCCACAACCGCCCCACTCAGAGCACTGCTTTCTGGTTGGATGGGCCGCAGTGGCCCGCGGCGATCACAGCAGGACGCTCAACGCAGACATCTCAGGAGCTTTCCATTTAAGTCAGCGGCGTCTCTTTATTCGCCTGCAGGACGTTCTGAACCTTTTTGATTCTTCTCTCTCTTCAGCGTGCTGACTGGGTGGAAAGTGGGGCATTAAATGCCTGTTTTTTGCCATCAAAGTGCGTAAACAAACTCAAACCAACGTCTTTAATGCACCCCGTTAAAATAGAAACAACCCACAACATGTCGGCACATCTCGATTGCTGTCGCCGACAAAAGGGCCTGAGGCCTTTGGTTTGGCTTCCAGACCTGTGATCTAATGTTCATAAAAGGCCAAATTATTCCCTTAAACAGCTATAACAAACTATGGTAACTGGTACTTTACTCAGGACTATTTTTAGCAGTGGATTTATACACATTTAATATGATTATTAACGGCAGTTGGTTTTGGTCTCAGAACTAAACAGGCATACGGATAACTGAAGGAGAAGTGCTTTTTTTATCCACTTTTTAACCCGCCGATTATTTGGCTTCCTCTTAACGCAGCCAACGTTCACCATCACAGACCGACTCCGACGGTCCTCCTGTCCCGGACTGCAGGAGCTCACAGCCTGCGTTCACGCTGCGGTTCGCTTGACCTCTTTCCTCGACCTTTTATTGGCCCCCGGAGGAGGCCAGCGGTAGCACACAAACTCTGCGTGACCCCCAGGCTCCGGTGTGCCTGTCTGAAGGCTGCGGGTCTCTCTTACAGGAGCTCATTGTAGGTAGCTATTCCTGCAGGGACTGCATGCTGCGCTGGCCGGACGAATCAATCACGTTTGTCATCTTTTTTTTTTTAAAAAGCAGCCTCAGACAAGCCACTTCTGGTTCAGCCGTAACCCGTTTATTCGACGTTACCGGGCTGGTCGTAAAGGCGCGACACTCTTTATGCATCTCGCTCGTTTCATCGTGAGATCGAGGGAACATGGCTCATGAGGTCCAGTTAAATTCTCGCGGAAACAGTCGGCTCTGTGTTCGAGACTTGTTCGAGATCTGCAATCAGTCATTCTGTCATTGGGAGTTTATGGGCTGAGGTAATGAGCAAAAAGCTCCGCGCGTTACGAGCCCCAACCAGCAACAATGTGCATCTCTGTGCAGAGCTGAACTGCCAAAGAAAGGTAAAGCAAGGTGAGAGTACGCGAGAGCCGGAGAGGAAGCTTTTGTTCATCAATCCTCGGTTGTTTGCGACTCGCCTTTCGGTTGCTGCTTTGTTTTCTTTTGTTGCATCATTCAGGGATCTCTTTGTGGTCGTCTTTCTTTCTGTACAGCGCGGACATTTCTGTGACTGCTGCCTTGAGTTTTCCATCTAGTTGATACATTTTGTGACCTTCATCACGTTCTTTTCTCAGCACATGGATTCAATCATTTTATTATCCGTTTTCATTCAATTACGAACCGTACACACACCCAGTTGTTGGCTGTTCTGAAGGGTCGGGACGTTGAGTCACATCTACCCGTTTCTACCATTTAATCCGTTTCAAAACTTCTTTTGTGAAGTTTTGTGCAACAAATTATGACCACAAAGTCACGCGTTTGGCTTTACTTTGCCATCGAGTGGATTTCCGTCACTTAAGTTGCTCGACAAATCGAAAATGTGAAAAGGTCTCTGACCTACTGAGAAAAGATGTGCACAGATGTTACAAGTGTATAGAAAATGACCAATTTCCACACACATGTTCATGCATCCTGCCAATTGTGCATGTGACTGTGACCAGCTGTGAACTGTGGTCCACCTGCCTGACCCTCTCCTTCAGGGCACGCTGCGATTGGCTGTTTGAGGCGGTTCAACTCCCGATAGGCCGCCGGTGCCCGACTTGTTCTCTCTTGTGCAGGGAGGCAAATTGCAGCGGTTAAGTTGTAAAACCAGGAAAGGGCCCGGCCGGTCGCTGGATCAGGAATCCCTTTCAGTGGGAGTGCTTTTGTTTTGTGTCCGACTCGCTTCCTGCACCAGATGTCTTATCTGTGAGTCTGCAACACATTAGCGGGTCGGAAGTACAACCTCCAGTAATCCACTGACTGTTTTCTGTGCCGCCCAAACTTTTCTCCTGTTGCTCTCAGACACAAAGCACTCCCTCCCTCTCTGTCTTACACACACACACACACAGTCACAGCAGAAGAAGATAGTTGTTTAGGACGCTCGCACACATGTGTGTTCGACTCCTTTACTGCTTAATAAGAGGTGACCCAAATTCCTTTGGTGCACTCGGGCACCGGGAACGGCAGCAGCTTTCCTGTCATTCAGGATACACACTCACACAGTATTCCGGACATCGCGCCTCCGGGGTTTCGCGGTGGGAAACTTTGGGGGGGGGGGGGGGGGGGTGGGTGTGTTCAAAGGTGGAGCCTAAGTCTCGGCTTGTGGGACAGGACACTAGTCCCGAGCGGAGGCGGATGTTTGATGTTCTAATCCTCTCTCGCTCTCCAATGGCAAGCAGCTCGACGATGGAGAGGACTTGATCAGCACACAATCCAGGAGGACTCTCTGCCTGTTTGATGGCTTAATCTCCTCCGTCTGCAATGGGCAACGCTTTCAGAATGGAGTTGATTTGATCAGTGCAGCAATCCGCGAGGACTTGAGTAGCTGTGATCATCTGCTGAGTGGTCTCTTCAGTGAGGTTTGCCATAAAACAGTCACGCGTCGGCCCGGAGGACTTTGCCTGGTGTTCCACCTCCACTTTTTCCACATTCGAGAGGAATTGTTGCTGTCAGAGGGCTTCGGCATGGCCGGGGTCACTAGGAAGGGATCCGGGAGACCCTCGTACTACTACAGGTTCCTGGGCAAGTCACGACTGCAGCGTCAGCGAAGCCGGTCCCGCAGCCGCACCAGGCCGCCTGCCAGCAGGGGTAATAAATACTACCAGTACTTCTCTAAAAAAAAACACCTCCCCGTGCAGCAGTTTCAAACTCGCCAACAGCACAAGACTCGGCGTAGCAACCTTTGTTACCGCCAAAGACAGAGCTGATAAAGCTCAGGAGATGTGGCTCGCTTGTTTATTTTGTCAAGGCCTTTCTGATTAGATCGTCCGAAGTGGTATTTCACCTCTGGACACGTAGGACGTACTTTACTTCTGCCATCTTGGTCACGTCCCTCCTCTCAAGCCAATGTGCTGATTTGCAGACAGTTTGGCGTCACTCTTCGCGAGGTGATGCTTCTCTGAAATCTGGCCCTTGGCAGCTCACAGCCAGGTGTTGTCTGGCCGCGTCCCCCCCCCCCCCTTCCCCCCTGCCCCCGTTTGGGGCGCTTCGCCTGTTGAATGTGTGAGCTCCAAGCGAACAAACTTTTCCGCAGCGAATAACTTTTTTTCTTTATCTATCGGCCTTGTTGTCGGCACTGTTTCTGTACTCTCATAGCGGCAGCTGGAGGCAGTGTTTGAGCTGAGGGGTTATAGCGATAAGTGCCCCCGAGGCTCAAGTTGCTCAGAAAGGGAAATATCTGTGAAATCTCCCCGCCGATTGATTTTGTTTTTTACTCAGCAGTAAACTGCTGTGACTCGACAAACAGGATTTTACGCACACAAACCGCTCAGGCTTTGGCTGAAACTGAACCCGGCTTCCACATGTTTGGTGCTTTTCATGTAACCGTAGTTTGTCTTCCATAGTCAGAGACGGACAAAGCAGCGTCATGGCGATGACAAAGAGACAAACAGCGTTTGCAGGTGCCTGATTTGTTTGCTTCCCCTATCTGATGAAAGAGCGGCTTTGAAGCCTCCCTCTCTGTCATTCAGTCAGCAAAGGAAAAGAGACACACGCGCACGCCAACACACTCCGCCCTTGATCTCTGCGGCTACCAGCGAGCCGCCCTCGCCGAACCCTCGCACGCCAACCCGGTGCCACGCCAACAGGGCGAGTGGAGGTCGTCCCCCAGAGGATGAAGGAGAAGGAGAAGACCTCAGCGGAGAGCGTCGCACGCTGGCGGTTTGTGTGCTCGCCGTAGTTGGAAGGAAGTCGTGGTCGGCCCTGAACTTGTAGCAGCGTGTGTGGTTGTGCATCAGAGGCTTGCAGAGGCTTTTACGTGGATCACTTTTACCTCACCCTACTATTGAAATGCAATCCGTACATAACCAACCAAATAATAATTAAACTCAGCCTGTGATGTGTTTAGTTTAGCTTAGTGTTCCCAGATTCTCTCTGCTGCACTTTACAGCTCCTTTCCGTGCTATAAAAATCCAATTTGACACACACTTCATTTGGCCCCAAAAATAGCTTTTTATTCAGTGGAAATAAAGATTTTTTTTTCTCACCTCCTTCCATGATCATGGAGACCAGGTGTTTTTGTCACCCAACAACAGAGGTGGGAGAAGAAGGCAAAGCAACTTGATTTCAACAACAAATAACAGACATTTCCTTCTGTTGAGTCCCGAAACTCACATCATGACTCTGCATATAGAATTTAGAAAAGCATCTTCAAGCTATCCGCCTCCCACCAACTGTGAATGTTTTTTCTCTTAATCCGTGCAAGTCGACACCCCCGCGTGCCCGGAGCTACGGATACTGTGATATCGCCGAGGCGGCTCTCGTCTTTTTGGAGCGGCGCTGCGTGAAGAGCGTGCCTTGCTTCGCCCCGCTGCCTTCGTGCAGCGGATCAGGTTGCCGGCCGCATGAGCTCATGTGTTTGTTGTTTTCCTCGCCGTGTGTGTGCACGTCAGCGCGTCATTATCTGCGAATGGAAAACGTGTATCAGTTCGGTTCGCTCTCCCCACGCTCGCGATCCCCTTTGTCTCGCCGAGGTTGGTGAGGTTTAAAAAAACAAAATGAGTGCTTATCTCTCAGAGAGAGAGAGAGAGTGTTTGTTCTAACTTGTCGCACTGCCGGCTTCCAGAACTCTTTGTTCTGAATTGTCTTGTGGATGGAATGCTGCCGTTTCTCACAACAGAATTCATAATTTGCTGTCTTTTTATCTGCAGTCTTTGTTTAAGAGATCTTTAACATCTTTAAATCGTAAAGCACAGAATCCATAATTCTCAAAAGTTGAGAAGAGTTTTCTATCTCCTTAGAGAGGGAGACACTTTGGTGGAAAAATTAGGTCTCTGGAAAAAGTGGATCAAAGTGGATCACAAGTGTCGTCTCCTCATTCACGCCTCATGGGGGGGGGGGGGGATTTCTCGCCCGGCTGAGTGGAGCGGTTGTTGCTCGCCGTCATATTGTTTCGGATGGAATGGGAATGGGGGCGGGGCTCCCTGGCGGGAATAACTAGTTTTGTGTTTTCCTGCCGACCCATATTTACACTTATAATCATCTTGCGAGAAGACCGGACCAGCTGGTAACTGCGTTGCAACACCAACAAGCTCTTTACATACTCTGCTGTGTGCAGTGTGTGAAGACCTTTATACCCTTTCTGAAGCTTTATTTGCACATGTGCAGTCTGTCAGCGGTTGGCGGCGCTTCTTGTGATGGTGTGGTTGTTTTTTGAAAGCCATTTTTCTCATTTCATTGGCTAATTCAACGGCCTGCCAACACAAGAATTTAACTGGGGGGGAAAAATGAACCTGCGGAGGACAATCCAAGGTGTGCAAATAGGAACCGGCAAAAGGTCCAGAGAAAATCACATACTGAGGGTCCCAGCTAGTTGCCTGGCAACCCTTACATTGACGCTGTGTGTGCCGGTTAAACAAGAGCAGATTGTGTTACCTTGAAACCGACACAGCCTGGCTGCCTGTTACCAGTCTGTACGCTAAGCTAAGCTAAGCTAACCGCTTCCAGGGTGACATGAGAGCGGTTAGCGTATCTCCCAAAATGAATTCAAAACGATTCGTCTGAAGGTGACTTTAATGAATGTTTGTTTGTGTGCGCGCTGATGGGAGGACGGACATAAGGAGGCTGGATGGGAAACATGTCGTCATATGTCATGGAGAAGTCACATTGAGATACACAGGAAGCCTGGAAGGAATGATGCGTGTCTCAAGGTAAATAGTCAGGAGACAAAAAGGGCTTCAGCGCTGCGTAGTGCCAAGTTAACCAACTTAACTTGACGGCCAATGGAATCACTTCTCCTGTTTTCTCTCAGACTGATTAGCCCTTTGATCTGAGCATCCTCCTCTGAGATTAAGTTCTTGCTTTGTTAAAACAAAGGCTTCCTTAATCAGCACAGGCGAAGCTCATTCTTTGACCATTTTGACTTAACTTACAGCACGAGGAAAGTTCCAATACTTCCCAGCTAGATTCCCTCTTAGACCCCATACGCAGAGACACAAGACAGAGAGACAGTGGATATCGCGCGGCGTGTGTATATATAACTCTCCTCATCATCCCAATGTTTAACCCAGGATTACGTTCAGATTCCAGCCCCCCTCTCTGGGGTCCGTGTGCGGCCCCCTTCTGCCTCAGCCGGCTGAATCACAGAGTTCACTCGCTGCTTCTGAGCACCCAAAAGACTCCAATAACAGGAGGACAGGTGCAGGCTAATCCCCCTCCCCTAATCCGTGTTTATCAATGCAGATTACAAGCGCCAGAGCCCGGCCAGGGTGGAGGGGGGGGGGGTGTTGAAGAACTTCAGGAGATCGGTGCCATCTCTCATCCTGAAAACGGCTTCTTACAGCCGGTTGCGTGTGCGAGTGGAGATTTTTTTCACATGCGTGTGTGTAAGCACACAGTCGCGGGTCGGAGAAAGTAGTTTGCTGTCATGATACAAAAAGATCTGATTGGAGTCCAGTCCGTGTTTTGGTTTGAATTACAGGTTCGAGATTTAATGCCTCAACAAATACCATGAGGAAGGAGAACAAACCGAGAATTGACACACATGTAACAACTTGGTTCCCTTCCGCATATCTGCAGCAGCGGAGGAATGTGGCCGCGTCGCCCGCTGCACAAACACAAACTTCCTCCTCCTGCCAGCCAGGCTTCTCCTCCTCTTCCTCCTCCGCCTGACAAAGGCGGGCTTGTGCCAGACCAAACATGAAGCAGGGCCCCTCTCACTCCGGCGCAGTCCAACACAGCTCCATGCTCCCAATATCTGAACTTTTTCGGATCTATTTTCGCGACGTTTATTCTGAACTCTGGTCTTCGCTCGGGCGGCTGTGATGTGACATCATGAGCATAACGTGTTTCCGCTCTAGCGGCCGTCGAAATGATTTCCTTTTACTCCCTCGTGTCGGCGGAGTTTCTCCAAGGAGACGCAGCAGCACCTCTTTATCGGCCCATCATCTCTGCGCTGTGCAAATACCAGATCTCGAGAAGGGTCAAAAGTCCAGCCCTGTCCTCACGGTTGAGTGTTAACGCATCAGAGTCTCTGCGTACCCTCGCAAATGCTGTCTCGCTCTCAGCAGTCACGTATACCAGCAACGAGACTACGCCTTCTGACAAACACACACAAAAAATGAATCCGCCTGGCAGATTGCTCGTTGATTGACGTTAATTCACAGTTTATATTCCGGGGAGAGACGGAGCTTTTCTTCTTTTTTTTATGAGGCACTATCAGGCAGTCAGGACCAGTTCTAGTTGTCTCGGTACTGGAGGGGAAAGTGATGTGTTTGTGAAGGAGGGAGGATGAGAGGTGGGACAGGAGAAGAAAGTCCTCCAGGTAGACAGAACACAGTAAACACGCCTTTGACAGCCTGTGATTTCTGCTGCACGTTTCCCCGCACACAGAGAGAGTGTGTGTGTGTGTGTGTATACTCTCCTCTGATTTCCCCTCCTGTCACAACACAAGAACTCTGCATTCTGTTTTTTTCCAGCACTACTGTTCTGTAGACACCTTGAACCGCCGACACATGCTGCACATCAGCTCGATGAGCTCTGGTTGGATTGTTTCAAAAACACATTTTAAAGCGGCTGCAATGAATATCGTGCTATTAATAGTTAATGAAATGAAAGTTGTCGCTCATGAGCAACACTCTCCTGGTCATACCGCTGAATTTAGGTTCATAAATTCATTCCGATCCCTCATGAAGTAGCTCACGTTGGCTACATCTGTAATTTGTTTGATACGTATTTAAACGGCACATTAAACAGTGAACAAAAAAACTTGTGACTGTAATTACACATGGAATAGACTGAATGCTCCTTGCGCAGGACTAAAGACCCTCTGCAACTACATCGTGTTTACAACCGCCTTTTGTCAAATTTAGCTCAGAGGCACTAAGCACAGCCATAAAAGATCACGCTGCATGTCAGGCAAAAGAACATGTGTTCAGGAACTCACCCGTCATCATTATTATATGAACTGCGCACTTTGGCTCAGCCCCAACTAAAATAAGTCCATGGCACCGCTCGGTGGATGGATGGATGGCTGGGTGGATGGATTAGTGGATGGATGGATAGATTATTGAATGGATGGATGGGTGGGTGGGTGGATGGATGGATGGATGGATTATTGAATGGATGGATGGGTGGGTGGGTGGATGGATGGATGGATTATTGAATGGATGGATGGATGGATGGATGGATTATTGAATGGATGGATGGGTGGGTGGATGGATTAGTGAATGGATGGATGGGTGGGTGGGTGGATGGATGGATTAGTGAATGGATGGATGGGTGGATGGGTGGCTGGATGGATTAGTGGATGGATGGATGGGAGGCTGGGCGAATGGAGGGATGGGTGGATGGATTAGTGGATGGATAGGTGGATGGATTACTGGATGGATGGGTGGATGGACTTATAGCGACAATCGGGAAAATTGATATTTTCCCAAATAGTCATTTGTAGTCGACTATTCCCCTCATACTCAACATTTCATTTTGTGTAATCTTTTGAATAGTGTTTACAAAAAGATATCTTCTCGCCTTCTGCACGGCTCCTATCTCCGACGGCCAGACACGCCACACACATTCACCACGGTGCTCGGAGGATATGCAGGTGACTATTATCTATGCGCTCTTTGAAGCTCCGGCTCCCCCGGGGCGCTCGCTGGCATTTCAGGGCTCCATTAAATAACTGTGAGTAAGCCTGGAAGTGAGGGGAATCAAGGAAGAGAGATGGCTCTGTCTGTGGGGATGTGTGATGATGGAGGAGGAGGAGGAGGTGGAGGTGGTGGTGGTGGTGGTGGTGGTGGTGGCGGTAGTTTGACTTTTGGGGGAGTGTGCAGGCGTTGAGAACAGCAGCAGGAGAGGTGCAACGAGGAGGATTGCGCCGGATGAGGACTTGATTTAATAAAGGAGAAGATATGATGATGAGTTTGTGAGAGAGAACGAGAATGTGGCTGCGATCAGGAGGAGAAGGGGGAAGAGGGGGAAATGAACGATACACAGGAAATCGATGGGAAATGAAGTCGATATGAAACAACAGGTGGCCTTGAGGCCACTAGACGTGGTAGTTCAAAGGCAGCTGACCTTTTGACCCCTCCGACCCTTCGCTTGACCACACCTCAAACAACCTCCGATGCCCAAATGCCTTAATCAGCTGCAGGTCCTCAGGCCCGTCTGAACGGGGTTTAGAGCCATTTAGAAAGTGTTTACAATCTGAAATCACACGCCGGTTCTTTGATGACTCACTTCTGTTCGGAAGTTGTCTTTTAATTGGAAGTTTTACCGGGCGCGAGTGCATGTTTATCATCGGCGTATTACGGAGCCAGGGACACATGGGCTTGTTACGGCAAAGGCAGATTTTCCGTGCATTTGTAAAGAGGCATTACACACAGATGGCGCCAACATGTGGAAGCGAACACTGCAATTTCACACAGCAATTAGTTCAAGACTAAATGATGTGTGTGTATGTGTGTGTGTGTGGGTGTGTGTGTGTGTGTGTGTGTGTGTGTGTGTGTGAGAGCTCCACTGAGCAGCTGCATACAAGCGGGGAGATATCCGTTAAGAAATTAAGAAGTCTAGAGGGGGGAATCCAGGGAAGTTGAGCAAAGAAACGATTTGTAACGAGAGAAAACCCAAATTCACACTGGTGACTTAATTCAGTCAATGTTCATGATTACCTCATCCGCTCTTTTTCACTCATTCAAATGGATTTAATACACTTGTTGTCATGGCAGCTGCCTCCATTTTTGATTTTTAGAATGAGTCAAATACATTTTTTTAAATATTAGTATAGCCGTTTTTTTAATTAAATATATTATATTGGATTGAGCAAGTTTTAATGTGCCAAATTCCTCTTGTCTTTCTTTTAAAAGTAATATTCTACTGTTTCTATTCAGGCCTTGAAACATTTTATTGAACAATCAGTGAGACAGCAGAAGTTACACAAAGATTCAGATGATGATGATGAAAATCGTCATCAGTACTAGGTCTAGTCTAGTACTAGTCAGTAATATATGTTGATATTTTAATGCATTAAAACAGCTTGTCAGCCTGCTGCAAATGAAGCAACTACATCGTCCCTTCGGTCATGGCCGTTTACACTTTTAGGGTTGAAGACTCGCGTTGCGGCCAAATAGTGCAAAATAAATTATATCCTCTTCTGGACCGATGTTGCTTGACCCCGATGGAAAAGTACATGAGGTCAAGTAAAGATGTCAATGGGAATTCTTCAGACGTGGGAAAGGATAACCGCAGAGCTCAAAGGTTCCAAGGGCACTCGTTTCCGACACAGAAATGCAGTCGGCTTCAGTGACGAATTCACTGCTGCTCGGTTCAAGTTAGGCCTCCCAAGGAGAAGAAGAAGAGTGTTTTCAAGGGTTGAATAGAAACGATGAATGTTATCGAAGGCTGAGTGGGGCGGGGGGTTTTCTCCTTTAGTTAAGGGTGGTCCAGCGTAGCGTGTTAAAAGAGATAAGAACACAAGCATTGAAGCTCCTTTCCTTAGCTCTCATCTCTTTTATCATGGCTGTCACTGCACTTACAGATCATTTTGATCGGGTGGCTTACATCTGCAAAATAAAGACTCTATAATCTGACTTGACTATGGTCAGATTTTCTGTTCAACACAATGTGATTTGAGCATTGAAAGATCATTTGAGTATGACGTTCTGACTGGACGACCTTTAGGAAAATCCATTGTTGGAATTGCATTGGAATGTCCTAATGCTTGATTGACTTGGACCAGTTGTGATCATCCGTCACGTCTCCGTGACAACACACCGATCGAGTTTGAAGTCACATCTCCGTCACCTCCACAGAGCGACGGATCACCGCTCAGAGGACCCAGATGGCGTCGCGTCTCAATTACAGAGATTGTGATTTTGCGACGGAGGACGTCTGCTCCGCGTCAGAGCATGTTGTGTCCGTCTGCTGTTTGTGTTGTTGCGCACTATGTTTATGTGAAGCTAAGAATTATGGGGGGTCGGGATGCCGGCTCGCGCTCAGCACAGCAGGCATCCATTCATTCCTAAATTAGTGTGTGCTGTAATACAGACAGCGGGCCTGTTGAACAGCAGGTTGGGTGTGTGAGGCCTATTAGAGAAGCTCCATATGCAGAAGTAATATGACATTTGGTATTCAATGTTTAGTGATATCGTTGCAGTCTTGGATCCCGACGGGCCTGATTTAGCTGAAGCATTTAACCAGGGTGTAAAAACATCACGCACCTTTGCTGTGTTTAGTTGTTCTCAAGTGACACATTTAAGGGAAAATGTATATAACATGTAGTGTAGTACTGTACGGATATATGTTTAATATATATATATATCTATTTATATATTTAATCACACCTTACAAAAAGTTCACTTATGACCAAGCTTTGTTAAGAAAACCTTTTTTTTTACTGGATACAACATTTTTCATTCTGACCATTATGCTCTATTACGATTGGATCAATATTCAGGTCTCAATATATAGTGAACGCGCGATACCGTCAACTGCAGTGTAGCGTGTGTGTTTGTGTGTGTCGGTGAGTGCGTGAGCTGGAGGGAGGCAGACACAGAGACGGGGAGGAGGATCTGCTCCAGAATTTCATCCATATTAGAGTCACATTGCCACTAATTCCATTAGATACGATGTTGCAGAGTCAATGATCTCATTTAAATAATCTAACGAGGACTCAGTGATGCAACGACCGAATGGGTTTCAAAAGATGACATCAGCGTCTCTGAACTAGCGGCACTCACTTTCTTTTATTCCTAGTAAATCTTTGTCCCTAGGGACACTCTGTATGAATGTCCTGAACTTCCTGAAGTTTGCAGTTCAGCTGTACGAGTTTACCAAATGACTAACGCGGTGATGCATTGCGCTGGAAGGTGCGACGGCTTTCTGAAATCTGTGGAGACTTGTGTTTTCAGCATGCCTCGAGGACTCGTCTAGATTTGTTGCTTCTGCGCTCATGTCCAGTCTGGAACTTGTCTTTCACACTGATCTGAACCTGCGTGTTTTCAATAAAGGGGGGGGGGGGGCATTTCAGGACATCAAAAATAAATAACAGCTTTTTGCTCCCTGAATGGAGTCATTGCTGCAAAGGAGTCTTCCTTTTATATAAAGGGCACTAGCACGTGTTGAATGCGGTGAACAACACCGTCATTGTCACATATATATTTTTCAAATTGTCCTTCTCAAAATTCTGGGAGCATTTTTAAAAAGAATTCTTTCCGTCTCTGCAGAGTCGCCCCCGGAGAGGACAGGACGCCGACGCAGCATGCCGGGCGGCTCCTCGGACAAGAGCACACCCACGATGGAGCCCGCGTCGCCTGCCGCCACTCCTTTCAGAGTCACCGTGAGTACTGTGAGTTTGTCTCCGCGTCTGTCTGTCCCGTGTCCGTCCCCACCCGCCATGTCAACGTCTAGTGTGGCGTCCAGATGGACCCCTTCCAATCTGAAACTCATTTACTTCAAATGCTGCTACGGGCCCTCTGATGTTTGGCGGCTACACTTCCCACATCTCCACGTCCCCGCTGCCTTTCTTTTTCCTGCTTTACTCCGTGTGTGGGATTTTTTCATTGCTTCTCAAACTGAACGACTTCAACATGCGCCGTGTGAGGCGCCACACGCGCTCCCACACCTGCTCCCGCTTGCTTGCAGGCAACACGCACGCGCACAAACGCACGCGCACTCGCGGGCGCTCTGTCATCTTTCTTTAACTCGCATCCGGTTCGCCTTCTGCCATGTTTAATTCAATAGATAAACAGCCAGTCGATGAAGCAAAAAATTGCGCTATGAGTCATCAATTTCAAGCTAATTAGCAATTAGCCGTGCATATTTACTTTTAATAGCTGATATGTGGGAAGATGGCAGCCTGGAGGTGAACCGCAAACAGCAGATACCAGGCCAGCAGGTTCAAGAGCACTCAGACACAATGCGGCTTCATTCTGCCTCCGTGCCGTCAGGCTTTAAAGAAGCGCTTTACCCTCGGTTTTTGTTTATTTGAATTTGTGTAATGTTTGTCTCTAGGTGAAAAATCATTCAATCAAAATAAAAAACCCACTGGTGTTGGACCAGCCGCAGAGTGAGAATAAAGTGTCTCATGAAACGGTTTTAACTATTGAGGAGTTGATAAAATCCTCACAGCTTGATGAAGAAGAGATTGCCAAACTCATATAAAGAAAGATGAGTGAAGAGTGAGAGGAGCGGAAATGAGGTTTATTTCAATGTGTTTTTTTTCTGTCTCATGAATGTGAGTCATTGAGTATATATTTATATATAGCGGATAGGAAGGGTCAGATGGAGGGGCTAAATATCGATTAAGTGTCCGTTACGCAGCTCCTTGTACTCTCCAGGGAAGAAGTGGGGAGAGCAATGCTGCAAAGTCATCCTGTCTCAATCACATGGCCACTTAACTTACTTCTGTGGGCTTATTGCTAAGCAGCAGGAACCTCTGGCACAAAGAAAGCGTTCCAAGTCCACGTTCGACCCTCTGTTTCGGCGTGCTGCCCCCCTCTGGACTACGACGGTAGCACAGCTAAACTAAGTTCCCCATAGCAACCTACACGTAAACAAATACGATTTGACTCGTGAAGATCATCATCACATACTTGCAGACATTTGAAATGGATGCACTTACGGTATAGAAAAACACATTATTTGATGGGTGGGTGGATTGATTCTCTTCCTTCTCTCCTGCATAGCCCCCTTTAGCAGTGACAAACCACCCCTTGCTGCCCCCCCAGTGAAAAGAGTTGTGGTGACATCTAAAGTACCCCTCCTAGGCCTTGAGCTAAATCTGTCAAAATGCTTTTCTCTCATGTTCTTTGCAGAGACTGCGTTCACTGTCTGCACACATAAATGGATGCCACACACACACACACACACACACACACACACACACACACACACACACTCCAGCACTCAAAAACAATTTTTCCCTGGAGGGATGCGAGGAAGCTAAAATCTCTACAAAGCCTAATCTTCCACAGCCAATTCTGAAATACTAGGAGATTGCATACAGAACCAGTCAAAAGTTTGGACACACTTTCTCATTCAAATCAATGACAAAGTCCAAACTTTTGACTGCTGCAGCACAATAAATTAGAAACTCACAACCCGGTGGTTTCTCTTACTCAGAGCTGGTTTAAAGAGCGGACAAACCAACCCCGTCACGTCCACGTCCCGCTGATTGCACCAGCACCCGGCTGGGTTGATTCTCAATTGGGATTTAGCTCCCTATCCGACCCCCCCCCCCTCGACTGTGTTCTCGCCTCCTGCCTCGCCTCTCCTCTCTGATAGCAGCAGGGGGTCTAATTGGACAGGTATGCCTTTTGTTTCCATCAGGCTGTGCTAGTAGGGGACAGGAGCTGTGGATGTGGAAGCAGGGAACACCCTGCTGATTGTCCAGGCACTGATCAGCCCCCCCTCCATTAGTGAAGCCGGGAATTGCCAACTCAAGGGAATAGAATTAACTTGCATTTGCTTTAATCCCCCCCCTCCTAAAAAAAGAAAAAGGAAAAAAAAGCCCAGCGATGAAATTGAGCCGTCCCCTCAGTGGTGATTTAATGGGCTTGGACAGGCTGAGATTACAATCTCAAGTGTGCAACTGTTGCACTCTCACACACTCGCACAACGCTAACACACATTTGCCCTGTAAACAAGGTGACATGATAAATATGGACACGTTATTTGGACAACCATCCAACACTCTTTTGAGCCTGTACAATACGCTACTGGGGTGTTGCTGATAACCAGCCCTCCCTCCGAGGATGCACTTTGCGTCAGATAAATCCGTCCCCTCCTCCCGCTAATTAGCTGTCAGCTGTAGAAATGCGGAATAATTAAAGAGCTCGTTGAAATTCACACGAACATGTGACCCTGTAATGGCCCCTGTCAGGTGGCTCTGGCTGTAATAACCTTATCGTGTTTCTGTGTCTAAGTATGTGATTGCAAAATGAGACCGCGATGATATGCCAGAGACAAACAATTAACTAAAGTTAATTAAAGGGAGGGACCTCGACAGTATTTAGGTGTTGAATCTTTTTTTCCGATATTGGTAGAAATGAAGCATCTCTTTGCCACACGAGGGAAACAGATGTGATGGATGAGATCTCATCGGGCGTCGCTCTCCATCTCAGCCACTGGTCATGTCGGCTTCATTTCGTGCGGCCGTGTAAGGTTCCTAACCCCCCCCCCCCTCGCGCTGTCTGAAGCGGGCCTGATTGCCGCGAGAGTACAAAACGCAGAGAGCATCGGGTCCCGCCGCGTTTGCCCGTCTTTCGTCTCCAGCTCCAGCCGCTCTGCTCCGGCCAGGGCCCATCCACCGCCGACCTCATTTGCTGCACTTTCCCCGCCCCACCCCCCCCATTTAGGTTCATTCTACTGCTTTTTCTATCAACTAAAGCTCTGCCACCCACACATTGTGCTGCACTTTTTTCCATTTGTCCCGCTCCCGGAGCTCATCCCTCGCTGGCGGGCATATCACTGTCATATTTTCTCCATTTCTCTCTCACCTCGCATGAGATCTGTCCTCTCCTCTGTTTCACCATATGTCTGTTATTTTTCCCCGTTTCCCGCTCTCTCTCAATCATCTCGTATGAGCTCGCGGTCGAGGCAAATGAAATGCTAACACCGTAGCGGCGCCTCCAGTGTCTCCCCCTGGGGTTTAATCTGGCGTTAATATTGCCATCGGTCATCCATGCCGACTGATTGGAAAGTGAGGAAACGGGCCGTTAATATCCGCTGACCTTTTAACCTGAGCAATAGCTCTGCGAGCGCTTTGACAGGCCGACTGAAATGGAGAGCTGCGCTTTACAACGTCCCCTCGCCGGCAGCATTCGATGGAGTGGCTCAAAGGGAGAGCGAGGAGCGCTAAATAATCAGAGCAATCGCGGGGCGGTGTGTCTTCCCTGACGTCTCTCCTTTTTGTTCTCCGGCGTCCATCCATCAGGGCGAGTGAGTAAAAACAGAACGGGCAGCCTCTAATCAATCTGCCTCGCCCGCAGGAACAGGCTTCTCTCCTATGACTGAGAAAGACCCTCTCCAGCGGGTCTGCAGGGACGAAGCGTGGAATCACTATGAATCCGCAGGTGATTGAGAATAATAACCAGAAATAAAGAGAGGAGTGTGTCACTCTTTGCGCACACAGACCGCGTGGGCGTTTCTACCGCAGCGCCATCGCCGCCATCAGAAAGTCACAAATCCTCTGCCTCCGAGTCCCCATCTCATGTGTCTTGAAGGAGCTGATCTGGATGAGGGGGGGAGGGGGAGGGATGCGAAATGCATTCGAAGACGATTAAATTCCTACTGCACAGTCTGACTCATGTTTGTCTTTGTTCAGCGTGGTGCCCAATGCTAATTCAACCACATGCCCACACGCTCGAAAAACACGCTTAGGGAGGGAGCGGCGGCGGAGGGGAGCGGCACGCCGACAGCAGAGACTCGGCCCTGAGCTGAGTTAGTTGGTGGCAGGTAGACAGTAATACCGCGTCGACGGCCACGGCCACAAAGTCTTCTCTCATCTACTTGGTGACATACGACTGACAATCAACATGAAGCTAGTAGCAGCACACCCATTAGCCGCGTACATTGCACACAGGATGGGCCGTGCACTATTTTTCAAAGTAAACTCTTTTTGCACCATAATAAACGAGTGTACTTTACCCTCAGTAGCATCTCTCTCCAGACCTGCTGGAAAAAAATCCCTCGTTATTCACACTCCACATCCAAGTTAATAATGCAGGCCTTCTGTTATAAATCTGTAGCCTCCAAGCTCACACTGGAGTTATTTTCTCACACTTTCCGAAGCTCCCTCCGGGGCCGCATAAGAACAACTGTTTTCACTGGAGTACTTCTCCTGAACTTGTTGAATTTGTAGGCCCTTTTAATAGTACTCGTTTTTAAGATTTCCCTCGATTTTTCTCTTTTCGCTTTGCAATTGCACTTTTAAGCATCCAGCAGCTCCTCCACATCCTTTTGGGTGTTGCATTGTGTGGCGGCTCTGTGCCTCGACTGCGCGCTCTGTGAATGTGGTCGGGTGCTATTGGAGTTGCCCGGCAATCACTCCGCGTCACACACTATTGGGACGGAGACACTCCCATAAGAGCAGGAGCACACCGGCATTAGCGAGTTTCACAGGTAAAGCAGCTCCTCTGTGATCAGCTGGCAGGCCGCCTGCAAGTCACTCTAATTATACTTCTCCCTTTGTTGCCCGGGGCGACCTATTCACGCACGTAGGTGGTGATTATGCAAGTGTGTTGATGGCCCGGCCGGGGCCGAAGGAGGTCGTTGAGCGATTCCGGTTCGGTGCTCCGGAAGGCGTTCGGGTCCGATGTTTCGGGCCTGTGAATCCGCTGAGTTCGATGGGAATGAAAAGCCTCACCTGAGGAAACCACCTGGTTCTGCACTTTCCCCGTTCAGTCTTTGCGCCCGGTGCAGCCCTCCTATGCATGCTTACTTCAAAGTACGGTATTTTACAGCTTCTTCTGATTTCTCTCCTCTGGGATCTTTTTCCCTGCAGTGAAATACAAGAAATAAACAAAAAATATCTGATTTTCACAGTTTTTTTTCTCTTGTTTTCCCTCAAAACTTGCAACAGCCTGACATTTCTGCACCACATCTCATTTGTTCATATTCTCTCGTGCTTAATGCCAGCCAACAGTTGCCATGGAGACAGCAAGGTGCTTGGGGAGGAGGGGGGGGTTGCAGATGTTAGAAAAAGTAAACACATAGACTCACACAAAGGGAGCAATGACAAAACTAATAAAGGGGTTTATCTGTTGCATTAATCGCCGCAAACACTCACGTAATTACTGCTGTGGAAATCAATCACTAATTTCCGCATAAATATTACCCACCTCCATTATTATTACATCTATCCTCTTGGAGGAGGTTTTGTCAAGGTCTTGTATGTGTTTCTGTCTTTGACCTCGTCCTCCCTTTTCCCACCGTGAGCATCCCTCTCTCTCTGCTACGAGGATCCATACTCATACGCATTAAGCATCAACACAACACCTTGCTCACCGAGTTTAAGATGTGGAGCAAAACTAAATGTGTGAGGTCCCCCGCCCCGCCGCCGAGTTTGAGCTCCTTCCCCCGTCTCATTGTCCGTCTCCCTCTCTCTCTCTCTCTCCACCAGGGCTTCCTCAGTCGCCGGCTGAAGGGTTCCATAAAACGCACCAAGAGTCAGCCCAAACTCGACCGCAACTCCAGCTTCAGGCACATCCTCCCCGGCTTCAGGAGCGTCGACAATGACAGGTGAGGGTCTGTGCCGCGCTCGCGTGGTCCGCTCTGTCCCGGGGGGCCTCGCCCTGTGTCTCCCTGACTCCCTCGTCGACTGTTATTATAGCAGTTGGTGGATTAATGTAACCAAGTCAAGATAATGTAACATAGAGCCACGTTTTAACCTTTCAACAGGATTCAACTACAGTCTATTGAGATTAACTTTTAAGCTTTAGGAAATCTTTGAAGTCTGTAATAGCGACTTGATTCATCTCGAGGTATTTTTGCTGTATTTCTCCTTCTCACTAACCATCATTTGCATCGCTCCTCGCCCTCTCTGGCTTCGCTCTCCTGACTCTAAAGATCTATATTAAGTCTTCCATCCGCTCTTGGCAGACATTCGCGCCCCCCCATCCCCCCCCAAATGGCGTCGCGCCGCTCCCGGGCCGCGCTCCTAATCGCTTGATGGCCCTTCCGTGCCTGCGCCAGCAACTGCCACAATTCCCGCCGCCCGTCCCCGCCGCGGCTGGAAAGCGGCCGAGGTGTCCGTCTGTGGAGATTAATTAACGGAGGTGCTGCTTTTGAAGAGATGTTCCACAGCTCTCGGTTTCAAAACCCTGAGCCGAGCCGCCGCTCTCTCTCCCCGTGCTTTTAATGAGGCGTCAACATCACTGTCAAACTCAAATTGTTCGGCGTGGAACACCGCGAACTGTTCCCCCGGTGGAGGGGGACAAAATGAGCTCGTATACGTCGCCTTCTTTGTCCCCGCTGCTTCTCTCGTTTTCTCTCCCACTACTACCCTTTTCTGTTAACGCCGTCTATTTTTCTAACCTCGCTCCCTGCGGGTCCATTTTCAAACTCATCACTTTCCAATTTCACCCTCCCCCCCCCTCCTCCTCTACCTCCTCCCCCTCCTTTTTTTAAGCGGTGGTGAGGTTTCCAAGCCCATCAGCATTCATGTGCCCCCCACTCCCCCCACGATAAAGCGCCCCAGTGTAGAAAGCAAATATCGGACAGGAAATTGGAACGTTCGCGGGCTGAGATCTTAGCACTGGCAGAGCCAACGTGCATCACTCTTCTCAAATGCACACACTCACTCCCATACGATGAAAGTAGTAGCGGTGAGGGAGAGAGACGATGAGACGGGGGAGAGTTGGAGGGTGGAGGGAGGTCATCCTACACCCTGATCCCCACGTGGGCAGATGTGCAGCATCAAATGGGAGGACGTAGGATTGAGTTTGATTGCGCTGCGTCATACGGGCGCAGGTGTCAGCTGTGACGCCACCGCGAGGCCGCGTTGGCCCCGAGTCGGTCTCAGAGGAGCGACCTGCCGAGGAGGAGCAGCTGGACCTCACAAATGAAATATTGATCCGTGGTAATCAGAGTCTGGACACGGAACACTCCGGTCTTTGGCTAAAGCAGAAACGCAGCACAGTACGCACGGCCGCAACGGCCCTGTACAAACTCACGCACGCTGACGACTGGATTAAAGAAGTACATCTATTTATACTGAAGTGCACTCTCGAGGAAGTAGTCAGTTTGTTCTTTTCAGGGTCGTTGACGCTGGCGAAGAGGCTGCACAACATCCTCTCCAGCTTTCACCGCGCCACTCAAGGTCAGAATTGGGGCAAGAGAAAGGGGAAAAGGTTGAAGTGGCACTACAGGTTCTACAGAATGAAGACGACTTTTGTCTAGTGTGATATGTGTGCGCATCAGCGCTCCGCGTGCTCGTCCTCTTTTTTCAGCAATTTCATTGACGACATACGGCCGGGAGAAAAGAGTGAGACATTAAACGGCTCTCAACAAAGCCAGTGGATGATTGGTGATTTTTTTGTAGTGCACGCGTGCGTTTCGGGGGGCTTGAGCGGTCAGCACTGTGACTCATGTGTTTTTATGGAAAGGCTGCTTTTGTAACACAGCAGGAAAGCTTTTCCTCACCGCCACTCACAGACTCTGAATATTAGCAGATGGAGAAAAAGGCCAAAGCAATTTACTGCATCCGTTTTTTCTCTTCAATATTTCTGTACCCTTTATGCTTGTCTCAGTCAATCTGCTCTGCTTGTGCTTTGGTGTCCATCGCATAGAAGACGATACGGTATACTGAGACCTAGCTGCATGCTGGGAGGCACTCCTGAACCAGACAAATGGGTATGGATGAACAGGACTTGTTAGGACATTTTGCAAGTTCACTTGATATTTTGCATTCATCAAATCGAATGGAAACACTGCCAGTGTTCATTTACGTCCGTCACATTTTAAGATAGAAAACCCAGTTGTAAATTGTACGGAATCACGGACACGTGTCCTTAATGAGCTCCAACACGTTTTGAGATAAAAGAGGCTCTTCTCATAACCACTTGAACAGTTGAGTGATGTTGTTTCTTTAAAAATAGGGTTGGAAACACATAATGGGCTTGATATAGTGTGTTTTCAAAGGTCAGCGTCCGTGCACGGAAGTGAAGCTGTGCTAACGGCATGCGTCGAGCTTTCGCCCTAAGCCCCCCCCCACCCCCCTGTCATTTTCTCATAAAGCTGCACCAAAGGGTGCCGTGGTAATTGTTGCAGGTGGGCATAGTGCGTAGTGAGGGAGAGACTCATCCATCCATAAATCCAATAAAGTGATGCCATTTAGAGTTATTAAATCCTGTAAACATTCCCCCGGTGGTTTCGACTGTAATATCCAACCTTTCCTATTTCTCTGCCCCCCCCCCCCTCCTCCTCCCCCCAACCCGACTCACTGACTTACTAAGATAAACTTTTTGTTCTGCCAGCATCGCGACGTCTATTAACCCTTGGTGTCACATTTCTTCTGTCTCTCTTGTCCCGTCCTGCTCCGCTGTAACGCGTCCCTTTGCTCGCGTCTTATTGGCTGAGCTCATGGCTGCACTCGGAGGTTCACTGGTGTGTTTCCGCTCCATTAAACCCAATCCAGCGCTCGCAGACTCGTCCCCGGATCGTCTCCTCTCTTCTCTCCGCCCTCGCTCCCTGAGGCCGCGCTAACATCCCCCCCCCCAACATCCCCCCTCGCCTCTCCTCTTGTTCCTTCCTATTTGTCATAATTTGCCTGCTTCCCACCCCGTTGCACGGGGGAACGTGTCCCTTAACAGCCCTTCATCTCTTTTCTCCCTCAAGTCATTCCATCAATCCCGCTTCCCTGGTGCCGAAGGTCACATGCTCGTCGATAGCATGTGCACGCCTAGCAAAACACACACCTTTTTCTCACAGTCCAATAGGTGATCCGCGTTGTGATCAATACCTTCTGGCATCAGCTCGTTCATTCACTGCACCAAGTGTTGATTCAGTGTGTATCGGCGATGATTCCTGGCGTGCGCGCGCAGTGAGGATGTGGGCGTGGCAACAGTCCAGAGAAGTATCGACAACAATCCAAATGACGGGTTCCACGATTATTATCCAATTGCCGATAGGAAGAGACACAACAGCAGTGTTTACATAATTGTCTTTGCAGTAGAATAATCCTAATCATCTTCCTCCTCCTCCTCCTCTTTTTAGCATCCTTCCCCTCTCGCCTTCTCATTTGCAGTGAATCAGCATGACTCCATGTAGATGAAACAGAGCTCTCGGGGTAATAATGTGTGTGCATTAATATGCTTGATCCCCATGCAGACTGGTTGAGCTAAAGCATCGGGAAACATAATGACTTTCATTTGATTTTTGAGGTTTCGTGGCATTATCCCCCTCTATCCGAGGTTGTAATGAGGTCTTTATTAATTCACGAGTAATTCGTTGTTGTTTAGGTGCTCGGGCGGAGGTGGGTGTTTTTGAAAAGGTTAATTAGTCCGGCTTTCAAAAACAGAGGGCTCTTCATCTGCTACAAGGACGCCGGTGGCTATTCAATTTTAAATTTCTAGCATCCCGGCTAAGTGTGTGATTTATTTATGTTTACTTCCATTGCCGCTAAAGAGGTTGTGTGGATTTACAAGGTTTTACCTTCTGTTACTCAGACAAGGTGAAGTCTCTTCCTGCTGTTGTTGGAAGTTCAAACCCTCTCACAGACAAAGAATTACTCAATCTGTTGGGTTTTTTCACAGAAAATGTAGAATTCAATGACTTAAAGGTTGGCACCTTCAGTCTTATTTGTAGGAAGAACAAATGAAGTAATGTACAAATTGCACAATAAAGTGCAGTCCCTGAAAGAAGAAAGCTCTGCACTTGAAGGATCCATTATGATGTGCTAATGCGCAATTACATTTCAAAGGGCCTCGGGTTGTTTCTTCAAAAACCTTTTAGCCGCTACGCACTTCCGCTGCGTCACCCGCGTAGCAAAAAGATGATTTACGTTACGATCACTGTACTTCCTCCATAGCGTGTAGCGCCGCCCTCGCTGCGTTGACACCTGCCGGTGGATGTTTAACCCTGCTGGGCCCTTCCCGTGAGCCCGGGCGAGGGCCTCCTCTCTTTCATTTTCTCCCTGGGTAATGAGCTGTAATGGAGAGGGCCTCGGGCGTGACAGGAATACAGAGGGCGCCATCACAGTAGCTCCCCGCGCGTCCCTTTGGAGGACTGCTCAGTACGCATGCAAACACTCGTTTTCTCATTCGTGGCTCTCTTTAATCTGCCCCCGTCACAGGCTTGTCAGTTTTTGCTCGCGCGCTGGTTTTGTCAGTGTTCGCGTCGAGGAATAGCTGTTTGTACGGCATCATAACGTGTTGATAGTTTACATATAGAGGGTCACTCTACGAGGTGCCCAAACCTTGAGAGAGTTTGCTCTGAGGCAAGATTTAATACAAGAGCTTTTCTACATATAAACTCCAGGGTATTGTTACCAAAAACGTAGTTATTCGGGTTCTTTTGTTTTGTCGACGATGGCATACGCTTCACGGAGACATTACAGCAGCGGGCTATAGGAGAGATAATTAATCACTCCTACTCTTGTTTCTGAGCGTCTAAAAAACACGTAGAAAGATGACCGTTCAGGTGTTAAACAGCTGGTGCGAGGAGCCAGAAAAAAAACTAAACTACGCACCGTATCTTAATTTGCCTTAATGTTTTTAAGCTGCCAGTTGCCATCTGCCAGT